GCCAGCCGGTAGGCGGGCGCGTCCACAGCGCCTGGAAATTCTTTCCTCCGTCTCTCTTCTGAATGGCTCTTGCCTTCTCTCCCCGCCGGTGAGGCGGAACCCCGCTAGGCACCGGGGGTGGCGAGCGGCTGAAATAACTGAATTTTCCCCGGGTTTTTTTTCAGGCTTTCTTGGGGGGGGAACTCGGCGGCGGTGAAGCTTTCCGCTGGAAATATGGCCACTGAGCTCGGAAGTGGGGGAGAGCCAGGTGAGGTCTCTACGAGCGGTCGGCTTCGTGGTCTGGCCGCCTGCTCCCTATACATGGCGGGTTGGCCCGAGTGCTGCCCCGGGGCTGTTTGAAGGAGGGAGCAGAGCAGCTGAGGCCTAGACGCTGCCTCCCGGAACTTGGGGTCACTTTCTGCAGAGGGTAGAAACCTTTTTGCCTATGGTTGTAGCAAGAAAGATTTATATTCTGTAGCTCTTCTGGTGTTTGCTATAGTGAATAATGGCATCAAAACTATTTTTTAGTTAGCTGAAGACTAATAATTAAAAGCTGCTAGCGAGGGTAATAGCCAAAAACATATATATTTTTTGTGATAATGTCTCTTTTCTCAAGTTGAGAAACCACTGCATTTCCTATGCATGGCTTGCAACTAAACGGCAAAGAAGCTATCTTGCCAGTTATTCATAAAACTTGCTTTAGAGACTAAAATAATTATTTTAATTATGTGTTATTTATTACAGTTTTTATCATTTTAATGTAAGCTGAACATGACTGAATCAGAGTACGCTTTAAATACCTACCAACAAAATACTGGCAAAAATTGCTCCTGCAAAGTTTATATTCCTATTAATAGAGAATGGGTTATGTGTAGTCCCAAGAATGTTGCTGTCCCTGTCACTAATTAGTGTTTCAGGAAAACTTGATAGCACGGCAGGAAGTCGGACAAGATCACAGTGCATAAACTGCTATGGCAAAATTTCAAAATTTGCAAAATATGGAAAAATCAAAATTTCAACTGATATTAAACTTTGTATGACAGCTTTGTGTGGCGAAAGGTGAAAGATCAGTTCTTAATTCCAAGGACCTTAGTAGCAGAAAAGCTTTTCTCTGAGCCAACAGTCATCCTGACTCAAAAGCCCATATCTTTATTGATCTTTGCATGAGTATTTACTATGCTGTGATGTAAACAAATAACGGCTTTTCAAATATTAGTATTTTGCTTTTTCGTATGTATATAATTTGTCTGAGTGTGGCTTCTAAATTTATAAATCTTTAGGATGTAAATAGAGCTCAGACTAAGTTCACTGTGAAGTAATTCTCCTTTTAAAAAACTTGATACATTTTGAAAGGTGCCAAGAAACAAATTTAAAGTTGGCTTGTGTGCCTTCAGACCTAAGTTATTTGAGGCCTACACTGTCTGCTGTATGGATTTATGTTTCTTTTGTTTCATGAATGTGAAATCAAAGTTCTAAAATGCTGAATGACTGAAATACACATAAAAAGAGATTTTCTAAGTACCATTATGTTGAATAGCGCTACTATTTTGACGTGTCGGCAGCCAACCCTACAAGTAATAATTCCTCCATTCAATTACCTATTTTTGTGATAATAGAACTTTTATCAGAATGTATTTAACGATTCACTGTTGAAGGTGAGTACATCTGTAAAGGGGTGTTTAAGATATGTCCTCTTCTGCACCTATCGCATCTCATGCTTGCAGACTGCTTTGGCTGGTGAGGGCAACTCCTTTCCCCTTCATGTTCCTTGGCATCCTTTTACTGTTACAGCCTTTCTGTCCCCTCTGTCTTTTTCCCTATATCCTCCAGATAAAGAACCAAGAAAAATAGGCAAGAAGTTGTTTTAAATTGAAATGTATGCATTACCTTCCTGATGTCTTTTCCTCTTCACCCGTTTCAGTTACATAGGTGTCACTCAGATTCTTATAAAATAGAATAGAACATTTCAGTTGGAAAGGACCCACAACAACCGTCTAGTCCAACTGCCTGACCACTTCCACTGTTCCAGTGTTTGACCATGCTCTTGGGAAAGAAAAGCTTCCTAATGTCCAATCTGAACCTCCCCTGGAGCCGCTTTGAACTGTTCCAATGAGTCCTGTCACTGGATATCAGGGAGAAGAGGTCAGCACCTCCTTCTCCACATCCCCTCTGGAAGCTGTAGAGAGCAACAAGGTCACCCCTCAGCCTACCTCTCTCCAAATTAGACAAACCCAGTGTCTTGAGCCGCTCCTCATAGGACATTCCTTCCAGCCCTTTCACCAGCTTTGTTGCCCTCCTCTGGACACCACCTTAAACTGTGAGGCCCAGAGCTGCACACAGTATTCAAGGTGAAGCCACACCAACGCTGAATACAGCAGGATAAACACCTGTTTTGGCTGGCTGGTTATACTATGGTTTCGTTAGATCAAAGAACACTCCATGAACTAGTGGAAAGAGCTGTTATGACTCCCTTCCAACTTTCTTCTGGTTCTTTCATTTGTAGTAAAAGTAGTCTCTGAAATCCTAATAGCCAAAGTTAGATGAGTAAGGAAGAGTGATGCCTTAGTTGATGTTCCCAACTCAGTGATATCTCATTACTCATTATGCTTTGCTGCTTTCAGAAAAAAAAAAAACCATACTGACAGACTGCATTTTTTCGTTGTTCTTTGGGTTTCTTCTGGATATATTTGAGTGCTCAGATCCATTTATTAGTGAAGCTCTTGACCTAAGTTTGTTGGAAGTTTATTGAGAACTGCAGGGTTGAGTTCCCAAGAACATGTTAATTGTCAAACATCTAGCTCATTGAATACACAGTGTCATTTGTTGCACTGAGACCTCATGAATCATTAAGATGTGTACGTGTCTGTAGGTTTTCTAGGCAGAAACTTCATTTTTTAAAATTTCTAAAATAAAAGAGAAGGAATATGAAAGAAATTGAATTCATTACTACACAGTCTTTGTAGGCTTTTTCAAGTCCTATTTTCATTAAAATAATTGTGCTAAATAGAATTTTGTGAAGCATGTTGTATGCCTTCAAAGCCATGGTTAAACATATTTCTGACTGTCAGTTACGGCCCATGTTGTAGCTTTGATTCTCAAACTTTGTATTTTTCAGATCAGAGGCTAAATATGGCACTTGGACAGTATGAAACAGATGAGATTTTGAGAGTTAATGCTGAGCAGGTATGTGAACTCGGGGATGGAAGTAGTAAGAATTTCTGTGATGAGGTTTTGCAACAAACGTCTTTGCATACATAGGGCACAGCCCACTTCAGTGTGGCCTTTCTTTGGGTCCATCACACAACTCTAGAGTTGCTTGTTGTTTTTCCAAGCAGTAACAGCAGAATAAAACTGTCATGACGGTGAACTCTGATATTTTTGGTGCGTTTTCAAAAGTTTGTCATATGCAGGCGAACATACCTGGAAGAATAACTTGATTTCTACTTTAGCAGACTCTTTCACTTCTATAGACTTCTCTTTTTCTAAGAAATTACTCTTATGCTGAGATAAATTTTTGTGCTGGGTATCATAAGCCTGTCTGAAAGTCTGTGCAGAAGCTAGGGCATCAGCACTTTCCAGATGCTGAGATGCATGGAAATGAACTTAACACTTACTCAAACTGAAGATCGCTCTTTTAAGACCAAGATCAATCCTCCTCAGATGCAATTATGCTTTATATCAGAGCATCTCCAGGAAAAAAAAAAAAAGATAATTTTTTTTTTCAAATTGGGCCAGCACTCAAGGATTTTTTTAATATAAACCTGGAAGTGATCCTGTGGGGCATTGTGTATGATTACAGTACAGGCAGAACAACAGCTTTGTGTTGCATATAAAAATTGAAAACTAAATACAGTCATGTGCAAGTACTAATACATAAAATATACCATTACAGAAAAATGCCCCTGGTGGTGATGGCATATCAGGATCCAGGATGATGGACCAAAGGTAACTGTTTCCATGTGATAAGTGAGAATACTACAAAGTATTCAAAATAAATTGTCATGTGCTTTTAAAAGTGTAAATGTCCAGATGAACCTGGTCTTACGTACACACGTTCACAGCTCTGAGAACTTGTGAATGGAGTCTGTAAAAAGTGTTCCTGTAGCAGTTCTTTTTAGATACTATTCTGCTTATTCAATAAATTAAATACATCATTTTCTTCTACAACCTGTAAAATAAAGGGTGAAAGATGAATGAAGGAATTCTCTAGTCTAAATAAGATAATAAACAAAAGTGAAGGTAAGATTGTACTGATCTAGGTAACACAGGTAACTGCTGTCTGTTGAGGTCAGGTGGATGTTTTTAAAAATGCTTATTTGACAATCTTCAACTAACAGTTGCCTAGGAGTAAATTGTTTAATAATCATTGTTGTTTCCTGTTATAAAAATAACCTATCCTTTCTTGTTAGCTTTTAAGGCTTTATTGGTCTAGACTAACACAGAATTTTCAGAAAATTACTATCAATTACAAAAATATTAGGAAGAAAAAAAGTATGTAGGTAGAATTGCATTATTTTACGTTGTCTTATAGGCCACTTTACTGTTGTATGTGAAAGCACTAACAAAGTCTAGTCTTTAACCGTTTGAGATTCTATGTATGAAATACTGATGTTGTATTAATGCTCATTTATAATGTCTCATGTTCTAGTTCTGTTATACAGGAAATCTGTTAATGATCGTACTTTAAAAGTAGTAATTAAGTTTGTTCATTTGATTCTGGTGAATGTCGAGCTTGGAAATCAAGAAAAGTGACTGTTTTGTTCTGTTCTCTAAGACTTCTTTAAAACTAGTTAATCATCAGAACAATGTTTCAGCATTTACAGAATTTATCTAAGCATGTTTTTAAACTTTTTAGCTTGTCAACTCTAATCACAGAGTATGATAAACACTTGGAAGAAATGAGAGAACAGCTGCAGCTTTATCAGGTATGGATGTTCCTAACATTTCAGACTCTATATTCTTAGTATTTTATAGTATTAACATCTAGGCCATTAGTTTTTGTCAAGAAAGGAAAGTATGCCTGCACCATGCTTCACAAACTTGCTGGACTGCAGTTTGCCTCAAATGGATGAACAGAAACCTTTCTATGAAAAGCTTGGGAGATTGTCCAAATTGCACAGATTACTGTGTGCTTGGAGAAGTAGTGTTGTGAAATGAAACGTGCTTTATTTCTGTAGATGTTCTGATACGGTTGCAGGTATTTCTCTAGGTGACATTCAGGTGAGGCAGCTGTTTCCCTCTTTCCTTACACGTCTGATTCAGCTCAGTCCTGCAAGTGTAGATACACCTAGCCTTCTTCATTCTTCATAATTCTTCTGATTCAAATAATTCTTTAAATGTTTATTATCATGGAGGCTGATGGGGAAGGGGACTGTCCTTCTTTCAACCACAGAAAAATGAAACTTTTAAATGCTGCATGTGATCACTAAAAAGCAAAGTGATATGTTTAATAATTAAAACTTGTGGCATACAGAAAGCAATTTTTACTTGTGATCTACATGCAGAAGGTATACTCTGGTTTTGGTTTAATGCACTTGTTTGATCTGGCCATCATAAAGATGCTGCAAATACAGTCTTCAAGCTTGGCCAATTTCAGAAGGCTGTAGAGGCACTATGGAATTGTTGCAGTCTTAGGTAACAAAACAGTCCATTTGGCTCATGTAACTGAAGTTTCTCCTCATTTAATTCCTGCACTCATTTCTCAAGTGCTTACTGCATAAAAGATGAGGGTTATCCACTGTATCCCTAAAAAAACTTGAATTAGTTAAGACCTAATGTAAGAGATACAAGAATTCCAAAAGGTAAGTTTAATGCTCATAACTTCTGAATGCTTAGGTATAACAGGACTTGGCAGCTGTTAAGTGGCATCCTGTGACTTTCCTTAAAAAAGAAAACTACTTTCATTTACTGTATTATGCTGAATTAAATTGTCCATCTTGCACACTATCAGTCAGAATTAAAAGCCGAAAGAATTACCAAAGTTTGTGTCACTTAAATGAGTGTTTATTCTTGCATGTTTTTGTTAGGCACAAATGAGCAAGATGAGACTGAAATTTGAACAAGTCACCAAGGAAAATGAAAGGTAAGTAATTGCACTGCTTGGTTACTACTGCTGTTTCTCTTGATTTCTAAACCTTAAAAAACATTTTTCTAGGACCTTGAAATCTTCTGAATCTGCTTAATAGTTGAACATTTCATACTCATGAGCTTAATGTTACAGTTTAAGTGCTTAATCTAGATTATAGCACCAGGTTTAGGAGATTTAACCAGATCTCTAATAAAAGAACTAGACATTAAACTATTTCAAACTGTTTATTATGTTTATAGAACATAACTTAATAGATTTAAATATGACTTAGAAGTAAATAATATGTATAGATTGAAGGTATGGTATACTTCAGTTATTTAAAAAAATCTGTTAAACTTCGCTGAACTTAGTTCTTTGAATTTCAGGCTGCATGCAGAGTTGAAAGAGACTCTTGAGAAGCAACTGGAGGCTCTTCCTTTCATGCCTCTGGGAATTGATATGCCTGCAGATGAAAGCATAGTAAGAAACCTTCAAGAACAACTGCAACTGACAAATCAAGTGTGTGAGATAAAACATTTGTTTTATTTCTCTTGTTGTGCCTTGGCAGATTAGGGGAAGCTGTTTTATTTCTGGGCTCAGAGTTCATTTGTTCAGAGCTTCTTGAGACTATTTTGAGGTACTCGTGACTTTCTGTAGCTAAAGAAACAAGTACTTATACGTTCAACTTAAAGACCTGAAGGAACTTCCCTGCTAGAGTTGTATCATCAGTGTTTAACATCAATTTATGCCTGTAATTTTACCTAGTTGACTTGATCTTTGTATTGATTTCCTGACCAGGAAATGAATGAAATACTTTGTTCAATTCAATTTTTTGTGGTAACTTGTCATTTTAATCAGAAACATTGTAATGTGATACGAGGAGGCAAGTATATGTGGGATATAGAAAATAGTATTTAAATCTGAAAAGATAAGCAAAATTTCTTGAGCTTATTACAATGATGTACCAGTCCTGTTGCGTATGACTGAGTTGAAGTTAAATTGACAGCTGAATTTTGGTATTTGAATATTATGCATACTGTAGGCCTACAGTAAATACCTGTAAAAGTTTGAGCTAAAAAAAAAAAATCTGGAAAACTCAGCTCACTTGTAGGTGGAATTTGAACTTGTAAGCACCTGTTTTTCTGTGTCTGAATTTGGTATTTTGTCTGTAGTCATAATGTGTGCAGAGAAAAGTGCAGGAAATGGCATTTCTTCAAAACAGAAGTTAAGACCTCTCTTTTTAGAGAATGATAGATGAAGGTAAATGTGCTATAATAGAATATTTTATACAAACCATTGTTCTGTAACTTAGGAAAAAGACCAAGCAATAGAGCTCTGGCAGACTGTATTACAGGAGCATGATCGACTCCAGCAGCAGTACCAAGAACGCATGACTGAAACGCAGATTCACGTGGCTGAAAGGCAAAAGCAGAAAGTAATTTTCATTTATATTTTTGTTAATTTTGGAATGTCTTTTTATACTGTAGAGATTCTGGGTCTGTGTGTAGTCACACTGAAGGGGGGGCAGGGGATGTTCTACCAGTACTGTTAATTATTTTCCATAATAGTCGTCTAAAGTTGAGTGGTCAGATGTGGTCACTGATTCATCAGCTAAATGCACCGTTATGATTGGAAAAGTGCTTTGTTTCAAATATATGGGCAGGAGCTTGGGGAATGCACTGAGTCTGAGTCTTAGCGCATAGATATGTATACATGCACAAGATAGGCATGTATGAATAAATAATCTTATCTTTGAACTTTGTGGTTGGAAATTTTCAGTAGAGTTCAACATCTGAAAAAGCTGCTAAAGATTTCTGAATTATAAAGTGGAAGTCTTTCACGTTTTCTCCTGTTTGAATCTTGAATTTTTTGTCTGTAAGATCACGGTGGGATAGTGGAAAAAGTACACTCCATTTCCTGTTGTCATTCAGTAAAGAAGCATGTGTAAACAGATGAAAAATCAAGTTCACCACTGTGTAGCAGCATGCTTCTCTTCTGCTGTTTCTGGGGAGGGCCTTTCAGGATATCTTAGTTCAGAAAAGAAGCTGGTTTGCTCTGATGAGCTATATAAAGATGCCGTCTGTGAAGAACTAATAGAAACTTCATGCCTATATGTACCTTGCTACAGGTATTTCTAGGTCTGTAAAGAGATGCTACAAAACATTTTAATATTTGCTTTCCTTTTTCAAGTACACTAGACTTGTGGGCACAGTTGCAGCTCACATATATAACAAATTTTTTTTACTGATTTTTTTTTTTTTTTTCTGTTGTGGTATTAAGTCCACATCAGCAATACGCTGTTTTCTGAGAAACAGGAAAAATACCTGTACAGCTATTGTGCTCTGTCAAGCTTCATAATTATTTCAAGACGTAGTTACGAGGACTCTCCTACCTACGTTCCAACTTTTTGCTCTTGTTCCTTGTATTAGTTTATTTCTTGTATTACGTTGTCAGTTACCGGTAATATACATGTATGTTAGTATAATTGGTACTAATTGGAGGGTTCAGGGCTGTCAGATTCCTCTTTTCACTAGTAACTAAACTCTGGGTGGATTTTAATGTCATTGTAGCAAGAATGAGGTTGAGCTGTCTTTTATTCATAAATGCTACCGGTCTCACACAGAAAAAGGCTTTTCGGTTAAATTTTTTTTTTTTAGGTGTTGCTTTTAATAGATGAGCACAAACTAGCTGTCAGAGCTAAACAGAAATAGGTAAGACCAACTAGAATTAGAATTGACAGAAAGCAAAGATGAGAGAGGATATTGTTGTAAGCGTTGGACATAGTAAATAAGGGAGTTGTTGGAATAGGTTTCTGGCATATACTTGGCCTTGAGAATGTTAGATAAGCACAGCACCATTAGTAGATATTCCAGCTCAGGGACTTGAGTCCTCTCTGTAGACACTTGGCATGCTGCAGATGATTCTTCTGCATTAAGCTAGTTTTCCTAGGAAGACAGAGTTCATGTTCAGGGAATCGAGTTTAATCCAACAATTTTTTGTATGGACACAAGACATCCTGTATGGCGAAGAGCAAATTAAGCGTGTCCATACAGGCATTTTTTAATTAAGGGGTACATGTCTGCTACTGTGCTTAGCAAAAATGCTTATAGTAGCATCATAGTCTGTGTGGCTCTTTTAAAGGCACTACTCATGTATGCTTTCATATTTTGATAGTAAGTGTGTATGAGTTTTGGAAGGAGGCAATTTGTAACTCAGTGAAATTCAGATACATTTTTCAGTGGTGAATCTGATTTTCCAGATTACTAGGTCAACAGCTAAAAGCAGTCTAATTAAAATCTACAAAGGCATATTGTATTTCCTGCAGCATGTATAAATTTTTTTTTAAATGTTTTCAGTTGACTATGAAACTCTATAATTATACACTCTTTATTATGATACTGATTATAAGAAGCTCTGAATTCTCTTTTTAGGATCAACTGACTGGCTTTCAACAGTTGACTCGGCAACTGCATATAGCCAATGAGAAAATAGAGTTGGTAAGTAAAACCTTCTGAACAGTGACCCAGTAAATTATTTTTTTCCTACTAGAGCTTCAAATTATAAAAGAAAAGCATGAAGTCCTTCATACGTATCTGGTTGAAAGAGAAGTTATGCCACTCAGATTTGCAAACTTTTCTAAGGACCAGTCCAAAAATCAAGTAGTAATGGCTTTTTTCCTGAACTCCAAACAGGAGGTCAGGGTGGTTGAGAGGTTAGCTCTTAATATTTTGTGAGCTCTTTCTTCAAGACGTCAGTGGTCAACTTACACTTAAATTTTAGTATGTGGTGAGTGTACATCAGTCACACATTCAAAATCATCTTCACAAAGGGAAAATTTATTTAAACGATGACTTTGATATAGGCTAGCTCTGCCACGTGTTTATCAATTCCTAGTTTGGTGCTGCTGGCTTCAGCGTCTGTCGTTGACCTTTTCAGAGATTTTTTCTGAGCTCGAATCATCTTCTAGTGCTTCATCCATATCCTTAGATTGTGAGACTTCCTAGTCTCTAAGCTTTAACCTAGGACTTCTAGGATTGACAAGCTTTTTTAATATCGTAGAAAAAATCAAGGTGAAAGACTTGGGGAAGTTTCTGGCTGAGCAGCTTTTTCTCTGAAAGACATGATTCCTGTGTGATTTTTTGATTTATTTGTCTTGGATACTGGCAGTGCAAGAAGACTCCTGATCTCTAGGCAGTCTGCTCTCTTCTGTCTTTATCACTGGAACGTTTTTCCTTGCATCTGACCTCTTGTTAAAATATAAGCCTGTTTCTTTGGTATGAAGTATTGTAGGTATGAAGGAAAGATTACTACATTCTTTTTCACGGTGCCTCTGTTATTGAAAACTTCTATATTACCATCTTTTGCCTTTCCCAGCTTTTTCTGTGCTGTTCAAAGCAAGTCAAGTCTTCAAATATTCTTTGACGATGCTTTTAAGATGTCTAATCATTCTTTTTGCTCACCTTTAAATTCTTTCCAGTTGTGCCATCATTCTTGAACTGTGGTGCTGGAAACAGTACAATTCTTGAATCGAGCCCTTACCAATGTTGAGTAGTATGTTGCAGATTACTACAGGATTATATCTTGCAAGCAGTTGTCCCATTTACAAGCTATTTAGTTAGTATTGATAAAAGCAAAATAACACACTTGGAGAGGAACTTTTGCCTTGTGTAGTTGGTGATGGTCTCAAAACTAGCTATTCTCTAAAACCAGATACCTCAGAGTTACTGGGGAATTGCTGTCTGAAAACAATCTCAAGCAAATATGATGATGAGCTTTTAAAGCAGTTTTGCGGAGGATTTGGAAGTTACAGACTGTTTGTGCTGTTAAAAGCAAATCAGTTATAGGTACCTCAAAAAAAATAGAATCACTGAACACTTAAAATCATAAAATTGGAAAGAGATGATGTGGATAGGAGTGAAATATATGAACTCTTTGAAAGACATAAACCAGACCATGTTAAGGTAAGTTAATTAATTTGTTTGCGTTTTCCAAAAAACATTTGGCAAGGTCTGTTACCAAAGGCATGAAGATGTCATGGGATAAAGAAGCATGCCCTTTCTTGAACTAACAAACTGAAAAATAGGAAGTGTAGAGACAGTAATTAGTGAGGCTTTTTATTATGGTGTAACAGCTGTGTTTCTTAGATGTGCTCAGTTGTTCAGCATATTTATAAATGTTCTGGAAATGACATTCAGTATTGAGGCAACAGTGTTCACTACTGATATTAAACTATTTAGGGTCCTGAAAACTGAAGTAAACTGCAGAAATTTGCAGAAAGATCTCATGATGTTGAATATGTGAGTGAATTTTATCTGACATTTAATTGGTATGAATAAAAGCAAAATAATGGGTTTGGGCAAGGGGGAGCTTGCGCTTTGGGTACTCTGTGATGGTCTTGAAATTAACTGTTACCACTCAGGTATTTTAGAAGTAGGAAGTGTCTGAAACCAATTCTTAGCAACAGTCAAAAAACCAAGAATAGTCTCCAACTATTAGGAGAAGGGGAAAAGGAATATGTTGAGCTTAAGTCCACAGTACAGTAGCATATTGAATGCTGCCTGCAGTTGAGTTATCTCTAATATCTCAATGTAAGGTATATGTAAGATCTAGGAAAAGCTAGTAGGATAACAAAAATATGAAATGATTCTCAAATGAGAAGACAGTTGAAGGAGAACACCACCTCCAGCATTATGGCTGGCATAGGAAAAAATGAAGGAGGAGCAATTTATCATTCTTTCTTTTCTCTCAAAAACAGGGATTCTTTCCAGCAATATGTGATCCACTGTGGTACTCATTGTCACAAGGTATTCTAGACACCTAAACTAGATGGGAACGCAGATGATAGGTCTGAGCTATTACAGTTCTAGTCTCAGGAGGTTCTTATGCTACCAAAATGTGGGGAAAGAAAGGGAGGATTAGATAAAATCTCTCTGTGTTTGCCTTTCTAAAATACTGTACCTAACCTGCGGCATTTGGAAACTGGCCACAGTTTTAAATAGACCATGTTGGCTATTTTTATGGTGTTATATTCTGTAGAAATAACAATTCTGAGTATATAACATTTTCAATACAATAAGGAGCATGTTACAAATATCTCTTTATTTTGCAGAGCAATCAACAGTTTCTGAAAACTGTAACAGAACAGAACGTGGAACTAGAGCAGCTACGAAAACAACTGAGGTATAAACCAGGCAATTTAAAAAAATTATTAAATATCTTTTCTATAGCTTTTTCTAACCTGCTGCTGTATCATGGGTCTTGTTTGTACTGCAAACTGACTTGCTATTTATAGTTACAAGGGCTTCAGTTAACGCCTCTTAAGTTGGTTAGAAACATGTGCATTGTTAGTGTTAGGGTAGCATGTTTCCAGTTAGTTTTGTTTGGTTTAGCTGTTTCCTGAAATAGTCAACATTTGACCTCCGATTTAAAAGGAACAAAGTGTCAGTATCACAGCCAAATTGACTCTGGAGGTAGATTTTTCATTAGAATACAGTTTGCTCAAACTCCATTTACATAATTACTCATTACAGTTCTGAAATTTGAATGTGCACAGTAGTTTCAAGTTTTAATGTTTTTAATAAAATTTCCATTCCCTGGTTCTCAATAAAGAGCTCTAAACCATAGTCTCTTTGGAAGTTAGAGGTAAGAGAAGCATTCATTATATTCCTGAAGTATACCAAGGAAAATGAGAAAAATACCTGCGACACAATTTCATGATTATTTGTATTTACAGCCAAAGTCTGGTCAATGCCAGTTTACTGTATCTGTTAACTCTTTTAATTAGTGATGGTTGAGGTCAAACTAAAATTTAATTGCGGTAAACAGTTGATTTGTTGACTGACAATAAAAAGAAAATGTATTCATTATCAACCAGTGATTTACCTTTTTTTTTAGCATTACCTAAAGCTTTAAATAAGCTTTTTTGAAAATAAACTTTTAAGTTTATGAGCTTAAAATTTATAATTTACTTAAATTTTGGTTTAATTATTAAATTTTATTTTTATTTTACTTACCGTAATTTCCTTTGATACTATGATTAAAATATTTACTATGGGTGGACTGCTCTGATGGTTTTGTTCATTTTATCTTTTGATTTTAAAGAATGTCACCCCAAAAATGGTAAAAATAATTGCCATTTTTATGTAAACAATTAAAAGATGGCTCTGGATTTGTGCATGCACATGTGTTCATGCACTCAATTTTGTATGCATCTTTTGGAGGTAATGCTGGTATTTAGAAACCTATGTTGGCTGAACACATGCTGGTACTGATTTTATCCCTCCAAGAAGGAATGGCAGCATCAGACGTTCCCTCTCCTCTCTTCCAAACCCATGCAAAATACTACATAAAGAGCAGTTGGTATCTGTTGTAACGCTAAGTGCCTGTCAGTGTAAAGATGGGTATTACAGAAATCTCCGCATCTGTTTAATGAGTCTAGTTGTACTATGCGTAGATACTAAAGTTACTGTGTCACAACACCCATAGTAAAAGATACAGGTTTAGTGTTGAATATTGGTCATTGTTGAATATTTATTAACCAATTTAAAAATTGGTCTTTTTCAGAATTGATTGTATCTAAACTTTCTTGCCGTTAGAGCAATGAAAACTAGCTGCTTCTACTATTAAGCTTTCACTCCCTGCTTGGTATGTTATGGTTTACATACTAGAAGAATGTTATTTGTTTTAAACAATGTTTACTTTTACATTTGCTTTGTGCAATAAACTCAGGACCAGAACCTGCTTACAAATGACAAGTCACCTCGATCACTGAAGAAGTGTTTCTGAGGGGGACTTCTTAACACTTCTCATTTTTATTAGCCAAGATTTTTCCGTGGAAAAACTTATTTTCAAAAATAGTGCATTTTGGAGAAGGAAAATGTTGTGACAAGCGATCAAAGATTAAGGTGGTATTCAGGGTATTTGCTAAAATAAAGTATTTCCAAATGCAGTCATCACTTGCAATTTGCTTGTGCATGCTATTATTTTGTTCCTAAAAGGGAAAGAACAGCACCTCATATCCCTACTTTTTTGGAATTTCTTTCCTTGCTGAGGTTATGAGTATTGACATGCTTACATTGACTCATGTAATAAGTGGGTATGAAAGCAATTAGCATTAACTGAACCTATTTTAGACATTGAATAAATGCTATCAACATTCTGTTTACTACTGCATTTCTAACACTATCAGTGGCTTTCATTAAAAAAACAACCAAAAAAACCTCAGAAAACTTAAAAGAATTCAGATTGTGGTTGAGCAGCCCGTTGAGTATTTTTTTTCAAAATTACAAATGTCATGATTTCCTTTGGTCTCTCCTTTATTTCTTTTTTTGAAAAGGAAAATCCATTTTAAGGCTTGATCCTTGGAATTACATGAAATTCTTCAGTGATACCACTTTGATCAAATAATTTAGAACATGGCATGACAACCACAATGGCCAAACTTCTGGATTCATAGCCATGTGTACACACAAGGATCTGTATAATTGTCTATATGACAATGAGCATGGATAGTAGAAAGCAAGTGCATGTTTTCTGCTTAAACTGCTGCTTCAGGAGGAAGATACATTAAAAGGTAGAAGTCCTGGAACTGACTGGAAAGGTAGTGGATCATCTTACTCGCACATGCCCAAATATATGTGCATATTTTTTATTTGTTGCTGCTTTATAAATAGTGAGATTGAGTGAATTCAGGCTTCCATCTAAGTATCCACAGGGCTGGAGTAGTCATCTTCCTTCTTGTTTCAGAACACTAGATTTCTGATTTAGTATGTTCTAACTGGGCAAGACTACTCAGTCTACAACAGATGTGGCTTAAGTCAATCAAAGCAGTAACTGCATGCCATTAATCAGCAGCTGGACAATCAGTTGCCTATACATTAATGATCAATATTAATAATAGAACAGATAAACCATGATACTAGGCATTTGCAATATAGTAATAAACACAAATCTATAAACAGGCTTCTGTCATCAATCCCATGAAGTACTGATCTCACACACTGTTGCTTGCTTGCTCTTAACATAGGTACACACGCCTTGTCCCACAGGAAGCATAGATTAAAAGTATGTGCACAGATACTCCCTTTTTGGGGAAGTACGTGTTCCCCCATCTGCACCCCCCTCGTGCTGGAGGTGTGAGTGCTTCAGCTTTACGTGTACCTGTGCTGCTTCCTGAAGTCTGCTAGTTGTGCCCTGCTGAGAAAGCACCCCATGAGTTCCCACACACCTGTTATGTTGGTCCCCATTCATTCCACCAGTGCTGTTGGCTCGGTGGAGGCTACTCCTGGGGTGTGGTGGGGCAGCTGCTCCCAGGCATAGGGGAAGGTGCCAGTGCCCATGGGGCAACTCCTGATAGGGTCAAACGCAGCTTTGCTGCTGGGCTGTCACTCTAAGGTCTGTCGCCCACAATGACAAGTTTTCATGTTTCCTTTCAAGCTGTCGTCTTCTCAGAAGTCTCTTTGTAACTGTTAAATCTGGCTGGCAATGATTGTGAGTGACCTTTGTCATTGTTACTCTCCCATAGTGTTCTCAGTTTTGGGCAAAGAGGCTCTCAGAGGAATTTTGCATCTCTAATCATGGGCACTGATTACACTCACGTTCTTCTCAGATCAGCTAAAAATTACTGCAACCCTATGACAGCAGCTCTTTGTAGCTCTAAAGCAAGTGCTGCAGTGATTCTCGAGTCTGGAATCTTTTCACCAGTTGTTTCTCTAACATGAAGTTACATAGATATAGTTTGCATGGATCATATCGCATATATTGCAGACAATTCTAATCCTTTTGGATGTTTTTAATAGATTTACATTGATTTATGGTATAGAGTAACAAGTTTAGAGAAGAGAAGTAGATTTAAAAAAACAACTTGTGTATAAGAGAATTTAGTTTGATTTAGGTTTGTATGGCCTAGATTGAGTGTAATTTTGGAGCTTTTGATATTGCTAAGCTTATAAATATTGATAAATTTTAAGTATTTTAAGATTAATATATAGCAAAGTGTACAATCTGATACATGTAGCCATCAAGCACTTCAAACACACTCCTGACACATTGTCGTCCTGTATCTCTAGTGTGCATGCCTAAAAGAAGACTGCTAGATTAAGTTTGGCAAGTAATCTGGGAAAAAGAAGACAAAATTAAGAGTTCTGCTGGAAGTTCTTTTCAGGTCGATAGCAGCTTTTTTTCTTTAGGTCAGAAGCTGACCCTAACCAAAATAAAAAATTGAAATTTGGGCAAAAACTCCGTAAGAAGTGTTTGAGAGCTGAGTTATTGCTTCTTATCAATGTTGACATAAACTCAATATAAAATGTACAGTTACACTGTACGATTTACATATTATTTATGTCCTATTATGCTAGGTATTAAAGGGTCATGAGACAATGTAATATTTGATGTATTTCTGTACAGAACTGAGGTTTGAACAGATTTCACTTTTATGCTAGAATTTTTATTAAAATGTTTATTAGTGCTTTAGTGTTTCAAACCTCTGTTGTGTACAATTAATCATTTAGTTCATTGTATTACTGTTCCCTTGAATTAACTACTAGGGGCCATCTCTGGAGGGGGGATGCCTAACAGTCAGTGATCAAATGGGTTTCTCCGGTGATGTGAACTGTTGAGTTTAACTGCAAGTATTAAAAATGTTTTAATCTATATGCTAATGAAATATTTTTAAAAGATCTGTAGATAAAGCATATAAACTAAGAAACTTGGCATGGCTAGGTCCTGTATCTACATTTCAGAATCTTAAAGCTTTTAAACAGAGATGACTTGCCAAGATTATAGTAAAGATATATTGCACAATGAAGAACAAAAGCTGCATCTTTAGAATCAATTTGTTGCGTGTTAAATACACATCTCTGAATTTGATCTGAATCTGAATTTGGTCATTAAAATGCATTTTTAATACTTAAGCTGTTCTGAGTTTTATAACCTCTTCATATTTTTCTTATTTTTCGCTGCTTATGCTGGGTTTTGAGGTTCTGGTTTGTTTTCTTTTACACCACATTTTAAATATTTTGGGGGAAGCAACTTAATGTCCTCATAAATTTAACAGTACTTTTTGTAGGAGAAAGGCGCATGATTCAGTTGGAGTAAGGTCAAAGGTTTGGACCTGCAATGAGGACTGTGTGTCTGGGAATAATGTTTTTATCATTGTTTTTGCTTTATAAAGAAATTATAACAAAATCAGCTTTTCTGATTAAGCTGAAATTACATATTTGCTGTAGAATTGCTGGGATTGTGTGTGTTTTGCTTAAGATTTTCATATAGATATAACATGTTCTTGTCTTTTACGCTATTAGATAAAAATTACTATTTCTATAAGGAATTTTTGCTTGAAGTTGATTCTTAAAAGTATTAAATATTTTCTAGCTTCTTTCCTGGCTATTAGTGCTCCAGTTTGCATTAGCTTGTCCAATGTTTGCTCTTTTTTAACCTTATCATACATTCAATCATCGGTCTTTAAATTTAGCCTAATATGCAGCCTGAATAATTGGGTTACACCCTAAGTGAAGGACTCTGTATGTCTTTCCATTCCCAAGTCAGAGGAGGAGGGTTGCTCATTTCAGTGAGTTTTTCTGCTGAGGAGGAAGTCTGATTCATTAACTAGTCCATTTATTTTCCTTTCCTGCTTCAGCTTGTAAATCCTTTTCAGATTACAAAGCACATAAGTTAAATTCTTCAGAAGTGCTTAATGTTTTTTTTTTTAAATTCCTAGTCAAATTCTTTTAAATGTAAAATCGAATTCTGAGAAGTGTTTCTCTATTAATATTTAATTTTTTGAATAACTTAAAGTTTTTGATTGCCTGGTCCTCCCAAATATTTAATCAACATATACACCTTGCTGTTAAGCTATCTTTAAGAAGCCATTTCCACAGGACAATTGTTTAATTAATTTGGTATTTCTCGCTCATCATGAATGTCTATGCCACATAGGAGGAGGAAGAAGGGGGAAACCTTTTCTGTCTTGTGGGAGCTGTATTATGAAATCTGACTAGGAGGAAGAAGGAGGAAACCTCTTCTGTCTTGTGGGAACAATATTATGAAATCTGACTGCCCTTCACAGCTATTTCAGCACGGTTGTAATGGAGGCGGTTTTTTTCCCCTATAGTAATTGAAATGTAATTCATAGACTGTTTTCTTTTTACAGGCAAGCCAAAATCAATGGGCGGACAGCAAATGCTAAGGTTGATGAAATGACCAGATTGACAGAGAAACTTCAAGGCCAATTGGAGAGAAAGGTATTGTAGAGAAAGGAATAAATTTCTGTTGGAATTGAAGGGCTAGTACATTGTCTGAATGCTGATCTTAAATTAATCGCAGGTTGTTCTCTAACTTGTTTTATGTTCGTATATCTTAATTTTGTCCAGGGAAGCTCAGATGATGTCTGCATAATACATATATTCTTTCTAGGAAGAAGATGTGGTATCTGCCCAGCAAAGAGAAACAGCATCTGACAAACGCTTGCAGCAAATGCAGTCTAGTATAAAACAATTAGAAACAAGGTAAATACAGCTCATTGGGTGTTAACAGGATACATGCAAGTGGGGTAAAATACTACATCTTTTTTCAGTCGCTGGGTTTTGTGTTTCTGAGCAGTTCTGTTTTCTCCAAATGCAGATATCATATGCTTGGCTGCTCTCTTAATTTATTCTATTCTGCAACCTTTCACAACAGCTTCTGATTTCAATGTATTTAATATGATAAAACGGACCCCTGATTTTATTGACTGTAACAGAGAAAAAATGAGGCATATATTTCTCATTCTAGTGCATAAATTCTAGTTACCCAACTCTTGTTAGCTTTAGGTGGAGTTCTAAAGAAAAACATTCACACTGAAATTTGAAAATGTTTATGTAAACTAGCTGTTTTTGAGGTGAATACAGATTTTTCTTTCTGTGTGAAATAAGATTTGGTTTTAGGTCTTGGTTCAGCAATCTTTATACAGAAAAGATAATAAAATTGTTAAAGCACACTTCTAACAATGAATACTAGTTACAAAAGTAGTTTGAATACCTGCGAAGGAGTAGAACTTTAATTCCAGCACTATCTACTGGAAGATCTGAGACTCAATCTGGTTTTTAGATGGATTTCTTTTTTCCCCCTTCACTCTCCAAGGATATGACACTTATCCTTGGCTGAGCACAGTGATTTTTGAGTCAAGTATCATGAACAGTTGTTGAATTATTAACATCAGTCAAGTGACCCGATAGTACGAAAAATTTGTAAGTTTATTACTGAAATAATTCTGTGACTGTTCATCCTCCCTTCTTGGTCACAGCATTGTGAGCGTGATTTGCAGACTTTTTAATGTCTGTCTCTTGGGGACAGACTTTTTATCAGGGCCTGTTGCAGTAGGGCAAGGGGTAATGGTTTTAAACTAAAGAGGGCAGATTTGGACTAGATCTAAGGAAGAAATTGTTCACAGTGAGGGTGGTAAAACGCTGGCCCAGGTTGCCCAGAGAGGTGGTAGATGCCCCATCCCTGGAAACAATCATGGTCAGGTTGGACGGGGCTCTGAGCAACCTGATCTAGTTGAAGACGACCCTGCTCACTGCAGAGGGCATGGACTAGATGGCCTATAAAGGTCCCTTCTAACCCAAAGATTCTTTGAAATGAAATAATTATTAGGGAACCAACCTTGTGACTATATGTGGTCAAGTACTGCCTGAGGAGTTGCACAGACTTGTGTGGCTACCTCTGCTTGATGAATTTCACTGGCCTAAGCAGTGTGGAGGCTGCTAAGTTTATTTTAGAATGTCTTAAGGAATTAGCTAGTTTTATTATTTTCTGTGGGTTTTTGGTTCTACAAAAATTGTGCTTTTGTTCTATAAAAATAGAGTGGTTGTCTTTCTTTGTATGTTTTATTACAAATATATTAGCAAGTAAAAAAGCATCTGCTGCTTGAAAAGACAGCCCAAGTGTTGCCAAAGTACTCACTATGGATATTTAGAACCATGCGCTTTATTGAACCAGCAGCACTTGCGGAACTTTCTGAGATTTTTTTTGAGGATACCTCTGAGGCTCTCTTGCCCTTTCTCATGCCTACCAATACTGACAATCATAATTAAACAATAAGAATTTCTGAGCTGTTGTAAAATTACCAGTGGTTTTCTTTTTCTAATAGTATAGCTGCAACTTCATTGCCCACATCCAATTATTCCATTTCCTCCACAGAGGAAAACTTTATTCCTTCCGGGGCTGTTCTATTCTGTTTTAATATAGAACATTTTCAGTGATGTATCCCAGGATAGCAACATTCTTCTAGGGATCTTCTGAGATTAGGTATCTGAGTTAACTCCTTTAATTCTGTTTCTTTCTAACACTTGATGAATACTAAACTCAAATACTCTGTCCAAAAACAAGCAGAAAACCAAGAACGCAGTTTTGTCAATTTAGGAATAAATACTCCCTATTATTTTAGTTTGAAAGAATTAGTGTCTTAATTACGCATCTTATTGTTAAATGAGTAAAATTACTACTGTCTTGTAGATTACGTGTTACTGCCCAAGACGCTGAACAGCTGAGAACAGAAAGAACAGGCCTGGAGAATCAAATCAGAGAGCTTCAGACAAAGTATGCTAATCTAGAAAGGGAGAAGTACGATGCTGTTGCAAAAGTGCAGGATTGCATACAGCTTTTAGAAGAAGCTAACCTACAAAAAAGTCAGGTAAGGCGATGGATGAAGATACTTCTTAGATAATTAGAATACTTTCATCACTGACAGTTGTGAAGTAGTCTTACAGGCATACATGCATACACAACCAAGCTTCTTTTATGTCTGTTGTACTAAGATTAGTAATGTGTACGATAGCAAACTGTGATATGACCATACATTACTTAGACTTGTCATACAGTATGAATTTCAAAGAATATGTTGGGTGCCTGGATAAAGGTGATCTAAGTGATAATACTGTACCAGAAACTTGAATTTTCAAAAAATGTTGACAGAGTTTCTATTCAGATACTTATAAGCAAATTGGGCTGTCAGAATAAAAAGGAAGGTCCCGTTATAGATCTATAATTTATTAATGATTAGGAAAGAAAACTGAAACTAAAGGGACTACTTTGTTATATGATGGACGTAGGTTACCAAGAGAGTGAGTTCTATGTTCAGATCTCAATTATTCAGAAGAAATCTGGAAATGTGACTGAGTAATGAGTGGGTGAAGTCTGCAGTCAGGAAAAAATTGCAGAGGTGTTTATTGGTCTATTGTAAAATGGCAGAAGACCCAGTGCTGTACTGGATGCTGAATTTCATCTTACCCATCAAAAAACAGTTAAGGAGATGGTGTGGATGTCACTTAATACATTCACACAATCCTCAGTGGTACTGGATAGAAAAATAAATAGAATGTTCAGAATGAGAGTTAAAAATAAAGATGCCTTTAAACATAGTGCACCTTCATGTGCAGTTTTAATCAGACTATTGCAGGCAAGACAAAGGAGAATTAGGAAAGTGCAGGAGGAGTCAACAAAGAAAACTAGACATGTGGAGAGACTTTAAAACAATTTTTTATATACAATATATGATTAAACTGTCATCGATAATGTGTATGCCGAAAGTATAGATATGAAAATAGTCAAATTGGTGACAGGACGATCCACCAAAACTTCTTAAAGAACGGAGTCTAATCCAGCAAATCTTGACGTGTCTATTGATCAAAAAAGATAGTCACCCTGTTTTCTCAGTTCTTAACTTCCCTGAAGTATCTGGTGTTTGCCTCTTTGGGAGATAGGATACAAGGCTTGGTAAACTTTTGTCTAATATGGGCTTTTTGTGTTTCTAATGCTAAGCTTCAGTTCAAGTCAAGGTTTTAGGGATTTAATGAATTGTGTTTGCTGGCAAGACAGAACTTGAATGCACATCTGATCACTGTAGCCATCAGTAAGTGAAATCCAGTTCAGTCATTGTCTGTGGGAATAAATGGAGAATCTTAGAATTGACTTTAGTTGGGCTAACATGTTGAACTGTTGAGCAGTTAAGGAGATAAATGCTCTCTTTTAGTCTGAAGTTGCCTTTCAAACTTGAGCAGCCTCCTGAATATCTAAACTAGCTTTTTACTTTCAACTTCTGGAATATTAAAGTTAGTGTTGCGCTTGCTAATTTCAGTTCAGTGACAAAGGAGGCAGACCTGCCTCCTTTTTTCTGACAGAAAAGGGAACTAACTTCTTTAAAGTAATCCTGCTACTTTCTGGCCTGCTTCCAGAAAAGATTAAAATACTGACAAAGCTTAGAGTTCTGGTCATTACTGCAGTTAAACTTCAGTGATTCTTCTTGTTAATACAAAAGAGGATTATCATCTTGTTGTAGTCTTTCTTCCCATATATTTATAGTCATTTAGGAAACCCTTTGGTAGCATCTTCTCATGATTTCCTCATAACTTTCTGCATCTTACTTGCTTTATGAACTAATCTTCTACAATTCCCTTTACCTGTTAGGCTCTGGTTCAGAAAGGGGTGAAAAATGAAGGTTTACGTCCTCCAGCTCTCGATGGCCACCTTTGGACTTGTCAGTTCCTTTTTCTTAGGTATTTTGATCCTCAACACCATTCTTCTGCAGCCCGATAGTGGGGAGAATATGAAGAATGAAAGGTAAAAATAGTTTTTTTCATAGTTTAAAAACCAGAAAACACTCTTTCATTTGAAAATTATTGGTAAGGAGTATAAATCACATTTCCAGTCTACCAAGTATTAGTACATTAGAGCAGTGTTAGAACACCATTTTGCAACCCAAAAGTAGTTCAGCAGATCATTTGATGCCACTTACTATGAACTCACATGAAGGTGACAGAAAAAAGTGGCTCAGTAAAAACTACTGTGATGTAAATTGTGTCTCTAAGACAGTAACTGAACAGTTACAGATAAATAAGTGACTTGTTATAAGTAAGTTAGATTTATGCTGTAATAAGAATAAACTGGAATTTGCAGACACTTGTTAATTTACTGCTCTGGGTAGAACATCCTGAATTTTTCAAACTGGGAAGTTTATTAATGAACAGGATAGAAAAAATGCAGCATAATATACATATCAGTTAACTCTTAGCGTCTTAAACTGTGGCCACAGAGGTTTCTCCCTGCTTTGTAAGGGATTTGGGGGTGGGAGTAACAGGCTGTGATAATAATGCTGCTTCTGTAATGTTAACATTATGAAGCACACAAAGCTAAGATTACAAAAAGACACCAGAAGAATTTTAAAAGAGTAGCTTGAGAAATAAAATACGAAGTTGAATTGAATGGGAGCAGTGAAACAGAGTATGGCTGACTAAGTGGCATGTTACTGCCTGAGGTGAGTAACCTCCTATAGGCTGAATTTATATCATCCATTAGGGACGTCTTTATGTCCGCCTTCCTTTATGCATCTACATATTCTTTATGTGCCATCTAGGATTTTTCATCTTACCCATCAAGAATTCTGTGTTTTTCTGTAATCTTTTCACACCAGTATCTCCTACTTTAACATCAGTAGCTTTCTTGCATCCTCTGGAGGAAGGATTCCTTGCTACACCTTTTTCTGTAATTCTCGCCATTCTTCTGTGCTGAAGAGCTGTTTGGTTCATTGTTATCCACCACGAAAAGGACTGCATACACGTTCCTTAGTTGCTTATAAATTTTTATTCCTTTACTTCTAGTTTTCTGGGAGATGAGTAGTTTAGTGTATCAAGCATAAAAAATGCTTTGCTATATGTAGGAGCACGTGTGTGTGTATACAGGTATTCAGTTTCCTAACAGAGAACTTTCTATGTGTCATTATTGGCATCTTTTAATGACAGATCCTGGCCCCAGGTGAGAACTTTGGAGATAGCCTTGCCTTTTGGTCTGAGTTCCTATGCTTTCTTCTGTATAATTCCATGCCCAGCCAAAATCTGAAAGTCCCAATAATAAGTACCAGTAGAAAAAGGCATCTACTGACACTAACTTTTTGTGTGGTTCTGATTTACAAGAATGTGCATTTAGTGCAAAATGTTCTTGCTGTTGTTGTTTTCTTTTTGGGTCTCGGTGTCAGCTACTCCAAAGTAAAAAGGAAAAAAGGTTTTTTGAACAGTGACTGTGTGTGGTTTCTTCCCTCAGTGCTAAATACTATGTCACCACTGAAATATTATCAGTAGTATTTCAAGTTGTTATTTTTTTGTAGGCACTCTTTGGGGAGAAACAAAAGGAAGAGGAACTAAAAAACATGAAAGATGAAATGTCTCAACTTGCAGAAGATACTGCTGCAAGAATTAGAAAGGCAGTAAGTTACCATATTTAGAAAGAATGGGAAGATACTCTGGTTTTCCTCAGCATGAAAAGCTGTTGATGGTGCATGGTCATCATAACCTGTTTTCTTATAAGTGTTTTGATAATATAGGTAGCAAGGCAGCATGCTGACAGTACTGTACTCTTCAGCTTTGTTGTCTAGACATATATTCTTTTGAACTAAATGATACTCTTAAGTCTCTCAAGAACCAAAAGTGTTGATGTCTGTGCAGGCACTGGTATAGAGAAGGCTGCACTGTGAAGATGTAAACAGTGGCACTTTGATTTCAGAGATTCTTCTCAGTAGCATGTCAACAGACTGAATGTTGTATTGGTATCAAGGTATGTAATTAATGGTACAAGATGTCATCTTGGAAGCTGCTAATGGAAGCTTATCATGTATGATAAGGACAGATGATAGGACCTGTTAAAAGTTACATTACCAGTTTTTTGGCATCTCAGTACTTAAAAATATTCCCCTCTGTAGGCAAGTAAGACTCTTCTACCAAGTACAGTTAATGACCAAAAGGCTCAATATCACAGCACACTTAGAAATCAGAATTTGGTAGAGAAATTACTAAAAAAAAAGTTAGTCTCTTTATGATTTTTGTTATTGGTGTTATTAGCAGCTGAAAAATTGAAGCTCTTCTAGTAAAAGACTAGTCACAAAATTAATTTTCTCCATGTTGTGTCCCATCTGCAGTTGAAATGCAGACTAATCTACCTGGAGGTTCTCAGTTGACATCTGCATGTCAAAGAGACTTGCTTTATTTTAAGGCAAACTCCAGAGGAAATAAAGGCATGTTACAGGCATGTGTTGGCAGTGTCTTTTGTTACAAGTGGACAACAGTGTAAAGCAATTACCTTGTTTGTAAGTTTTCAGTGGTGTGATTGATTTTGTTCGCCTCCTTTCACTTTCTTCATTGTGACACAATATGTACTGTGTAGGGATGAAAGGATTCTTTTTCGTTCCAATCCTTTCATTTTGAGAGGTTTCAGGAATATATTGCCTAAATTTTCCAAGCCTTTAAAATGAAGGTAAAGATGGTTTATGCCTTCTGTTTGGTGATTACCTGGAATAATCACAAAAATTGTGTGTATTACTTAAAACTGTGATATTTAATGTCATACATGATTTGCAGAAAGTGCAAGAGCAAAAGCAACTAGGATAAGCAATCTAGTTGAGAAAATGATTTACTAATCAGAATTTAGAAATGCCCTATTATTTTGAAACTATCTCAGCAAAAGTGAACCTATGAAAAGCATAAAAAGTAAAATTTTAAACTATGAGTTGTCATGTTTCTCCCGCTATTAACAAATACTGTTCTGTTATGTGATCTAACAAATTACAAACAAATTGTAGCTAATGGACAGCAGCTTTCCTGACAGTCTTACTGTTCTTTTTGTAAGGCCTTGTTGTGATGTCTTCCTTTCTGCTTTTTTTCTAAACACCCTTATTTAAAGTAGTGTGGATTGATAGCAAACATTCTTTCTAACATTTGTGTAGTAAAATTTGTCAGTTATTGCAGTTCCACTATATATATATATATATAAAAAAAAAAAAAAACAGGATGGAAAAATAGTTCACAGGACTTTGTTTGTTTGTTTTATTTTGGTTTTGATCACAGGTGGACTCTGCAAAGAAGCAATATAATGTGCAGATTTCTCGACTAACAGAAGAACTTTCAGCTCTGCAGATGGTATAGTGTTGACTGGTGAAAGTATTTTTGATAGCAAAGCATTTGAGACTTAGAGGTTTTGTTTATCAAATAAAATAATACATTCAGGTAAAAGTCAAGTAAAATATGTTTAATGGATAATTGTCTAGGACCGTGCTTTATTACTGTATAGCACTTTAAGTCCTGCGTGTCTCCAGACATGAATACAACATACAGTGTCTTCCATGTTACTTGACAAAAGTGACTGTGTGCAGTGCCTTATTAGTCAGTGCAGAGATTCTTATTTAGGTGTAAAGGATATTTACTTTGAAAATTCATTTTTAATGTGCAGATTTGCCTTACGTGTATACAATCATATCTTACTTTTACTGAGAATCTTGCCTGGCTCAGCATGAAGTAACACAGTTCTGCAAATCCACGCATTTCTTTGTGTAAGCTTATGCCTTGAGGTATGCATATTCTTGTCATAGTTCACAAGCATCTTGGCAGTGAGATTCTGTGCTCTAGAAAACCTTTCCCATGTGATGGCTTTTATTTGCTTAAGCATCCCTGTTTCTTTCAGGGATAAATAAAGCATGGAAGGCTGAGTATTGCATACCTATAGTTGGGTACATAGAAATGAAGTATATGGATGTCGATAAAGTACTCTAAGAGAAAGTCTGTGCATCACAATCATCATACTCCTGAATGAACCAGGAACTTGTGACAAATTATGTGGGAGGCCAAAAGAGATCGGTGCATATGCAGCTATTTATGGATTAAATTTGTTTTTAAAAGGTTTCATGTTAGGTGTTTTAGTCTATATAGTGAATGAGACTGATCTGATAGAGACAATAATGAGCAGATAAATATAATCAAATGCATACATACCAGCAGTAAGAATTACATTTTAAAAGGCTGGGTTTTGGCTTTGACACTTCTTGAGTTTTTATTTTTACTTATTTTTTTTATTAGATTTATTTAAAAATGACTTTTTAAAATAGGAATGTGGAGAAAAACAGGGTCAAATTGAACGAACCATTAGAGAAAAGAGAGCAGTGGAAGAAGAACTTGAAAAGGTAAGGTAATTGCATGCATTTTTACATCACATTTAAGCTCTCTTTTCAGAAGGAAAAGATATATTGATTTTTTCCCATTTCTTATAGGTTTTTTGTTCCCTGAATTTGCTTATTTTATTTTTTGATGAGATTTTCTTAATTGTAAAGTTTTGTGTAATGTAGTGTGTGGGTTTTTAAATCCAGAAATTGTTTTAAAGCTGTGATACTAAATTGAAAAAGAAGGTTTTTTAAAAAGTGCAAAAAGTAAAGGGAGAGGTGTTTGACATAATCCGAAAGAAAACTTAAGCTCAGTAGACAGGAAACTAAATGAACGCCAGATCTTTGAAAACTTTTTTCCTAAGTAGCAGCAACAATGATAGAAATTCAGTTTTGTTTTAAATCACTGGAAAATAGGATGCACTGAGGAATAGCCTCCTTGTCAGTACTACAGTGCTAATCACCAGTGCAAGGTAAAGATGATCTTACATGTAAGTTTATTCTTCAGGTTTACAGGGAAGACAGAGGACATGAATCTGACAATAGAAAACTAGAGCAATTGCATCAGAAATATTTACTTGCAGAAACTACAAAAGGTGACCTTCAGCTAAGTCTACAGACAACACAAAATAAACTGAAACAACTGGAAATGAAGTAAGTAATGGATGTTACAGAAATTGGAATGGAAAACAATAGAAATTACTTCTGACTAACTAAATTGTTGGTTATGTGTTAGGTTTTTGTCATCTTTTTAACCAGTAGCAGGAATAGTATCAAGATACCGTAATTCTGAAGCAAGGGCAATTATGAATCGCTATAAAAAAAGAGGGTAACATGCTGTAGAATTAAAGATTTTTTTTTTTTTTTACAAGATGAGAACTGCAAGCAGGTGTCTGACAAAAAAAATTAAAATAGGATTATATTATTTGGAATCCTACGGCGTTTTTAAGTACTGTTTGTAGGAAAAGTTACTCTATGAAATACTCAGGCAGAATTTATTACTTCATAAATTAATTTACAGTGTGGTATCTCCTAGTACATGCAGAACACTATGTTTACATAGCATACTGAATTTCAGGTCTGTGTTCAGAGCTAATAGACATTGTTGCAGTTCCAATAACAGAATCGTAAAAAGTATGGTACACATTTTTGGACCAGGTTGTTGTTTTCAGCATGAAAAGTGTAAGATTCTCTTGAAGCTTCAGTCATTTCTGTACTCTGATGATCATAAATCCTGTCACTTTGCCAGAGCAATCCTCAGTTGGGAATCTGGAAATGTTATAAAAATGAAAATCTTCTGTTTTGCATTGTCATTTTACTAAGATTGCTACAATATTCGATTGGTTTTATGAATTCTGTCACCTTGATAAAATTCTGTGCGGACTTCTGCATAGCTGTAGCTGTCAAGCCCATTAAACATGCTGAGCTGATACAAACTTGCAGGAAGAAACAGGGGAACAGCTGTACTGGGTCAGACCAAAGATCTGTCCCAATACATTATTTTTTTTCCCCAGTACGGTAGTTGTTCAACGCTTGAGTTCCAAGAAGGCTTTTCTTCTCTTTCAGCTCTGAGGAAGAGATATCTCGATGCCAGGAAGTTATCCGTAAATTGCAAAGCATTCTGGATTCAGAAAGAGAGAAGACTGCCTTTGTCAGTGAACAAAGGCTAAAACTTCAGCAAGAGAATGAACAATTGCAAAAAGAAATGGAGGGCTTGAGAAAATTGGCCGTAGAGGCTCAACAAAAAGCTAAAATAAAGGTACGGTTTATATGTTATTTGTTTTTAATGTTAAGACTGGTATTTGCTTAATAAGGCAGCAGTTCTAAGAGAAAATCATTTAAAGTTTAAATTAAGGATGAAAGTTTCAAAAAAGCTTCCTGGTTGCTGCTTAAAAGTAATTTTGTTGAGCGCTGTGTGTCCTCAGAATCTATTGGGTATCTCAATCTCTGCTAATTCAATTGTTATTTTAACGTGTTAAATTCTGCTTTATAAGAAGATCCCAAATGTTCTTTGCTTTTTATAAGATGAATCTATTAAATAACATACTTTCCTTCAAGGGATTTCACTTGTTCCAATTCCAGATCTTCATTTATCTCTTCTCTGTAGTATGTTAGGAATCTCCGTATGACGTTCAGTCCAGAGTGTTCCTGTACTTGTATGTCCACCATGCTGTCAGAGCAGTGTGTAACTAATAAATAACTTAATAGTGTGGTTGTAAAACATCGTATTTTCTGGACAGAGAACATTTTTCTATATGAATCATTGCAAACAAGGTAATTATCTGAAAGATGGATGTCCTTTTTGAACATGTACCATTAAATGCACCTGAACAGACTGCAGGTGGGATAATGAAGTAATAGTAACCTCAGCAGATTCATGGTTCCTTTAGCTTCTGGAGGGAGTGACAGCTTTGATCCTTGATGTGCTTCAAAGCATATAAAGCTGGTACTTTCCCCTCTGCTCTTAACTCCATGAGTGTAAAGATACTGAAAAGGGATCTAAGAATCTGCAGCAATGAAGAAGACTTCAGTAAGCAGTTTTACAGGTTCTGAACGGGGACCATCTCAAATCCAGTTTCTGCTTTGCACCGCAAGATAAAGGAAGCAGTCAAATTAAACAGGAAATTCCATTCCAACTCCAGAACCCTTTGGTCAAACGTAGTTTAAAAACAAAGGACACGGTCCTGTAACAGGACCTGATAGGTAGCAGTTATAAAGCATGTACCAGATCTTTGTCCGTCTCCTTTTTAATCAGACAGGCTACCATTATAGTCACAGATGAGATTTATTGCTTGCTTTCATTTTCCTCTGATGTACAAAGGTTTCTAGATGCAGTTAAGAAACTCCTAATACCTTTTTGCTAGATGAAAAAGAATGTGTTTCTGTGGAGAAAACATAAGGGAGAAGGATAAAGATTATGTACAAAAATGAGCATACACAGCTCATTATCCTTTACTGTCAGTTGTACTATTTACTTAAATTGGCTTTGGGAATGTGTATCTATTTGAGCATATAATTACAAGTTTAATTATTGTATGTTAACATGTTTTCAGCAAATGTTTATAAATTTAACCCAAGTGTTGTTAAAAAAAAAAGTAAAAAGTGAGAGACTTGATTGTACCCAATTTGTGTTTTTTCTAGATAAGCACAATGGAACATGAGCATGCTGTGAAAGAACATGGGTATGAAGCTCGACTTAAAGAAATGGAAGACACCAGTCAGAAATCTACTGCTGAACTTAGACGTCTGTTGGTAGCTCAGCAAAAAGCAACAAACCGATGGAAGGAAGAAACAAAAAATCTTACTGAAAGTACAGAAGCCAGGATTAGTAAGCTCAAGTAAGTGCGATTTTGTTCTTTTGGAAGCTGTTACAGTTTTAGTTACTGATTGGTGTGTGGCAGTAGACCTGTGGTGAAAAACCGTGAAGAGCAAACCATCTGGACTAGATTACGAGCTTTTGGTAAAACAAGAAAGAATGTTCTGAAGAGAACTTTGATGCTCTTTGTGAAGTTAGCACAAGTAAAAATTTTGCTTCTTGTTGATGTGTGTGAATTTTGTAATGACAAAAAGTAAATGGAATACACTACTTTTAATTTTCTCTTTCAAGATATCGAATGGTTAATTTGAGAATTTTAGCTTTGGATTATGAAAACCTCAATATTTGTAGCTATTCAGAACACTCACCATAAAATCAGTCGTGGAATGAGTCTCCAGACTTCTAAAATAAACTGGAAAAAAAACTATTGGGACACACATCTTACATTCTCTTCAGACCAGTTGCTGTCATAAATGAGGATACAAATAAGTTGTGTGATTGCCCTAAGCAAAACCATGATGCAAGCTTTACTTTTCTCTTAAGTCATAAGGTTGCCAGGTAACTAGCTGATACTTGTATTCCCAGCACGGAATATAAGAATATTTTCAGTTTTGAAAGAGCATAGTAACAAAGGCATCTCATGCAGCAGGCAAAGCTAGAGATTACATGTCATTCCTGATGGTGGGGAATACAAGCACCTATGATGCCTGTGAGCCATCAGACAGACATCAGCTGGTTTAGAGAAGACAGTGGTGGTACTGGAAATGAGTGAGTAGAGAAGGAAGTATTCCTGTGAGAAGTTAGACACTCGCAAGTTAGGTCTGAAATAAATTCTACAAACTTACCTTTGTTTTAAATGTATACTGCTGTAGATAGTGTTTGCTTCTACTTGAATGTTAATATCCATTAAAAAATGTTAAGAATCCACACAGATCAGTTTATTATAAAGTAAGCAGAAGATACGGCATCTACATTCATCTTGGTTTTCCTTTTCAATGTGTGGATACATGGCCCAGTGTTAAAACGTAAATGAATCGATCTGAGCACAGTGGATTTGTAGTGTCTTTCCTTTTCTGGTGTTGCCTTTCTCCACCTCAGCTTCCTTCCATGTCTTGTTTTTGGCTGGCAAGTAACAGCCAAACCGTGGCCAGTTGTGAGCTGACGCACACTCACTCACTGACTCTGGTTAGCCAGCTTAGCCGATGCTTGTAGGAGGCCAAGTCTGAAACAGGCTTTCTCTCAATAGAGGCAAAGATACATGTTTGCCTCATGCTTTATTTGCTTTCTAAGCTCAGGAAACGCTGTCAGTTAGATCAAGTAAGACTATAAATTAGCCTGATATTTTTATAGAGCTTCTTGAAGTTCATGTTCTCAAGAGCTCTTCCTCTTCAAAATTGGTTGAAAATCAGAGGTGATTGACAGATAAGTACACAGTAACTTCTAAACTAGGAAGCCTGACTTCATAAGTCTCATCTCTTTAAAATTAAAATGGTTAGAGAAGAATATAACATTGCATAGATCATTATCTCTTAGGAAGTGCATTCAATGGTTTTTAGAAGAAAAATTCAGGGTATGCAGCTCTGTTAATTTGAGAAATTTGAGATGACCCTTTAACTTTAGTCCCTTAAAGCGTAGGATGCATTTATGTATGGTTGTTTGCTCAGAATTATTTTAGAAGTTGCTTACGATCATGTTAAAAAGGAAGCAAAATTTTTTGCCTTATTAAAACTGGAAACATGTTAATTATCGCTTTTATTTGCTTTGGAGTAATCTTTGGGTTTTTCATGTTTTACTATTGTAATGGGTTACATATTCTCAAGTCAAACCATTATATTTCCAGTATCCTATGCGATTTTTGGAGTCACAACTTCTTAAGCATAGGTTGACATTTCTTAGTGGTCAGAATGCCAACAATGTGAGTGGAATTAGAACTCAAGTTACTAAACCTGAGCAAGGAAAATAACTTCCTGAAAGTTGCCTACAACAAATCCACCTGCTACTCTAACTTGGTTTTCCATCTTCTTTAGAGAAGTATGTGAATTTGAGTATGTGAAGTTTCATTCCTCTTTAAAGTGACACAGTGTCTATCACAACTAGTTGTACCTATTGTCTGCCCAAATAGAGGAACGCTATGAGTTCCATCCTGCTTGAAATGCAAGAATGATTGATAAAACATTTATTGAGGAGCTTTCTGTTTTACTAGCAGCTTCACCGATCTGCTTTTCATTTTTTCAAGTGCTCCTTTTCTGAGTGTTTAGAACACTTTGTAGTGGTAGTGAGTTATTACCTATGATAACTAGTTCAGTTTAAATTTTTCAGATAGTTCAAAATCATACTAAATGGTAACATTTTTGCTCATTTTTCTAGAAAAGCAAGTCCTATGTAGTCACTCTGGTCACTTTTACCTCTCCAAAGTAAATGGTTTCAGGTTTTTTACCGTATCTGTCCAGGTGTAGGCTGGCTTTATTTTGCCTTAAAATACACTGCATTTTGCAAAGATTACTAGACAGTTTAACTTTAAAAAGGCAAAAAGTCTCTTTCAGAAGACATCACAAGTGTTGAGCATGTCTGCATGACAGTGGGAGCTGTGCTTATTCACTGGCAGTTTTAGTGGAAATAGCTTCTATGTATATAATTAGCTGGGTCTTACTAAAGCTTTTTTGACATCTTTTTGTAAATGCAGTAACTAGAGAAGAAAAGTATTTTGCAGTGTTTCAGGCTAAGGTAAATTTTACCTATTAAACTTGTAGTTTATTTTCTGTACATGAAACTACTGAAACTCTCAGAGTTGAGCATCTAGGTTCATAACCAGATCCTGAATGTAGTTCAGCAACTTCCAATTAAAAGGGAAAAATTGCAGACTTCCAAAACAATTAAAGTTGTCTGTGAAATAGCTGCTTTCCTTCTTCAAGCTTTAATGTTAAGTGTTAAAATGTTGTTACAACAGGCCAAAAGCTTTAGACCTTACTTATCTGTAGCAAAATGCTGACATAGAAAATATAACAGACGTGAGAGGAAGCCTGTGATGTGAATCTGCATCAAAAATAGGTAGTAAATTTTGAAAATGTCCTTGTTTATGTGAAAGACTGCCTATGTGGCATCATCTGGAAAACTCCTGCAATAATTTAACATCCTGTATCAGAGAATACTGCCTGATGAGCAGAACAGAAAAAACGTTCATCTCATTAAAAACCGTAAGTCTACACTAAGCCCGCATGATTCTCTGTGACTTACTCTATGTGAGTAGGTATTTTGGTGCAAGTCTAAAAGCAAAGTTACTTTTGAAGACGATTTCATAGGTGATGCTTTTACATACTGTATAAGCTAGAAGCAGAAGTTTTTATTAGACATTTGCTCTACCTAACAAGGAAGTTGGCAATAGAAATAAGTTTGTTCTCTGCTAGAAGGTTGTAATTTAAACTGACATTAAGAAATGTTGTAATTAAATCTGTGCAGTGATGCTCTGATGTTATGGTGACATGTGGCTATAACAGAACCTATAAGTATTATCTAGAAAATTTAAAACCAGCTTATTTTTCATGTTATATGCATTACCTGATACCTAGCTATATAGTGCAGAATGCAGCTGGTGTGAAAATTAGCTCCTGGGTTACACAGTACTAGTTACTCAATGCAAAGTCACAGAAATATCAGCAAGACCACTAAATAATAGGCTGATACTGGGTAAGCAGGATCTAGTGAATTAAATGCTCTGTTTGAAAGTCCTCTTGAGGCTATTGCAGGAAATGGTATCGCCAAGCCTTATAGCAGGGTTCAAGTAAAAGGCCAATGTTCACCCAGCTTTCCCATATACATACATTTTTAAGTTTACGTGGTTTTGAGAGGGTTAGTTAAGCTGTCAAACTGTAAGGAAAACTTAGTATCTTACTTAGAAACTTCGTCTTGTCTTGAGTGGTCAGCAAGGCTGTGAACTTAGATGAAGATCTCAACATGCCCTTTTTGGATTTAAATAGAGAGCTCTTCAAGTTCAGCAGCATATCATGGTTATTTAGTGCCATTCCTTGGCACTTCATGAAGTTACTGTTTGACGTATTGTATTCATGCAAATATATGAGCAAATACAGAGATTGTGTTGGAGACATGTAGCAGAATTTCAGCTTTTAATAAGAATTATTACTCTTACAGCATAGTAATGTGCTTTATAAGTGAATGTTTTTCAGGAAGTTATAAACTTCTTAACAAAGTCATATTCATGTATGCTGGGGAGGTACTTTACGTAAAAGCATTTTATATTGCATTTCACCAGAAGTTTGCTCTTAGTGCAGCTCTCTGAAGCATTGAGTCAGTGTCCCGTTTGTTAGTGTAGGTGTTTCCCATTCCTTTGCCTTAAATTGATGATCTGTTGCTGTTTTTCAGTTCTATCCTCATTACTTTCCTTTTCCATGTGAAGGTGTCTGAAACATTTTGGCTTCTTTACTAACTCCCAGCAGCAGCTGCTGACTTTTCCACAGTCTGTACTGCTCATTTGTCATCTTTTAAGTCTGCAGTGTTTTGTTTGTGAGGTGTGATACATATGCATAAAGGAAGCATTAAGTAAATACTTTCAAGAAATGAAGCAACATCTGTGAACGTTAGGTGATTTTCAATTTTTTAAAAATTAAGGAAAAGTAAATTTTGCAACCTGTACAGTAAAGCAGAGTGTTTTTTTTTAAATAATATGAGAATCTAGTAGATCAGTGAAAAACCTGTAGATAGAAATGTTGATAAATTAATTGATACTTTCAGGCTTCACTGAAAGTTATTCTGTGCTTTCGTGGATATTTGTGTCTCAGTTCAAGTTAAACATGTAATTATTGCATGTAAAACTGAACTTGGAATTAAAAACCAGTGCTGAAACAGTAGGCAATGCCTTGAATACTTGGAGACTAAATTCCACCATTTTCTTCACAAAAACACATTACAGTCTTGATTTATGAGGAGAGTTTTCTTCCCTCTAAGCATCTTAAGATGCCGTACACTTTTAGAAGGATTTATTGGTAATAGACCTCACCTTCACCTTGCAGGAGGGCAGGGAACCAGTTTTGCTTCAATATACTTGTGCCAAAAGTCTATCTTGCAGGTAACTAAGGAGGTCAGTGCTTCTTGCAACATAGGTCATCGCTCCAAATAAAAGCATTGCTTTTGGCAGCCTGACTAACAACTCATGACTAGTGTTTATTCTCTTTATTCCTGCAAAACGTCTAGCTTGGCAGACTGTGAAAGGAAGCTGTCCTGACTTACGAAAAATTGCATCGATTTTAGATGTACTTTGAGTTCTAATGACATTTACTGAAGTGAACTTAGACAGCAGATACTTACAATTATAAAATAGTTATGCAAATGAATGGTTACTGTTAAAGGCTGTAAAAAAGTGGTGTAGCACTCATTTATTTAACGATGAGATGTCCCAAGGCTTTTCCATTGAATTTGTTTCTTTCTCTAAGAATATGTTTGTATGTAAAAAATGAATCCATATAGAAAAATCTTAACTCTAATAAAATAATACAGTTTAATACTAATACATAGTATGAACAAACTGGTAAATTAGTAATAACTCTCTGCCACTGTTGTCTAGTAGTAAGATGCAACTTTGGGCAGGGGGGAAGCAAAAATACTTGTTGTAACCAAAGCGTTTGTATTTGAACAACTATACTGAATGGCTTCATTTTTTAATAGTCACTTGAATTATAACTGTCACTACTTACAAAAAGGGAGTCCTTGCCACATTGGTTTTAAATTTAAATACTTTGCTTAGCTTCAGTCATCTGGTCGCAGCTATTTTGGGTGTCTTTGTTCCAGTTTCTGCTTCTGAAACATCTCTGTGTCATAGTTATAGTCCCTGACTCATCGGTACCCATGTGTGTTTTTTGGAGTTCTCGGTTTTAGCTTTTCTGTAATTGAAAAGAATCTGCCTCTGAAGAATGACCTTTTTTTGGTGCCTGTGTATGTAAGTGTTGGCCAGGCCTGCCTTCTCCTTCTCCCTACATCCTGTACCGTGCGTTGGGTGAATTGCACAGCATCTTGAGATGAGGAAGTTTCCTCCATTTCTAAAACATTATTCTTGGCTGTACTTCTGTAATGTTTGGCAGCCATAGCTGCTAATTTTAAGATGTTCATTAAAGAAAAAAATTAACAGGATGAGAGACAGCTGCAGGTACTGGCAGTATACAAAATTCATAATTACTAAGAGTAGCTGAGGCATATTATAGTATAATTCAACCGAAAAAACAGCTGGCACGTGCTATATTTGTCATATGAGAGCTTTGCAGAATGTACTTGCTACAGCTGGCGGATTTATCACCCGTCTGCCAAAATGCTAAAAGCTCACCTTTTGTTTCCTACTCACTTAACACAGACAATACAGAGTAGGGGCTGATTCGATTATTCAGCAGTTGGGGTTACTGCTCAGTTTTAATATTAAAATCTCATAATGTGTATTTGGGGGAGGGTTAACAATCGGAATGAATCAACTGACCAGCTGAACAGCCATAACATTTCCTTATACTTACAAGGTTAAATGGTTTTCTTTAAAAACATGTTCAGTGTGATCTAATTATAAAAATAATTTCTTGATATACAGCTGTGTATGAGCATGTAAACTCTGTTTATGGCCTGTGCTGCAAAAAATGCTAATTCCACATCTCAGTACAAGTATAGGAGACATATAGATTGTTTTCAGTAACTAAGAATTTTTAGTTTAGGAAATTTGGATTTTTGGATAGTCTTCTAAGATGATGTAACTATAAAGATGGTTTGTCAGAATTTAAGAATTTCCTTATTTTCAAAGCCTTTTTTACTAGCATAGTTGAGCATAAGCAGTCTAGACATTGTAAGGAGTAGTGTTTGAATAGTTTTTTAGGGAGTTTATTTTGAAAAGGTGTGTATGAAGAGATATGACAGGAATTGTATAAAATTTCTGTTTTGCTAATAAAACAGTTTATAAAAACTGAACTTTCAAGCTGTTCATTAGAGCTCTTATATTGAAAATGCTTCATCTGGATGTGTGGTATCGATTACAGAGGACAAACTGCAATAGTAGAGCTAAGTATTGACATACTATCTTGATCCTGCAATTTTAATCCATCTTTAATTCTTATTTTATATAAGATGTTCACATGTGGCAACATGGGTATAATCTATATATAATTTTAATTGTTTAACATTGTTTAAATATCTGCCTATGTACTCTCATTCTTACAGCAGCTAGTCAAAAGATGTTGAACTGTTTTTATGGTATTGACCTGGTTGAGAACAAGGGAGTGGAAACTACCAGCCAGGTATACTAGCAACCTTACGTTAACAGATACATTGTAACCTTGTATTTCAAGAGCCATATAGCAGTTTTCAGCCAAACTTTTACACAATACTAAGTTATTGTTGAGAACTAAGTGCCATCATTAAAATAGCAGAGGCTTTTTAAAATGACCATCTGAGGTTAAAGTATCTCCTGCCTTACCTCCGTTCCTCCAGAAGGAATAAAGGCTTTAGCTTCCATTACAGTGCATATAGCTTCAGTAATAGGCAGAGCACCTCAAGGTTAGGTATAAGCTTTCTGAGCGTTGTCAGTGTGCTACATATTCATTAAGATGATTGCATTTCAGCATAGTTTCAACTTGGGAAAGGAAGGTAAAGTGAGAGATTTGAAATAGATTTGAAAATTCTTCTTCACAAATATGTTTCACCTCAATGTAGAAAGTGAAACTCGTGGCCAGAATTTTGATAACACCATTTTTTTGTGATGGCTGTTGCTAGTGGAGTAGAGACTGGTCAAAAGTTAGAGCAACTCGTTTAGTTTTGCATCTTCCTCTGGCTAAAATAACGGAAGTTCAGAGATTTGTCCATCTTTGGTCATCTCTTCAGTGGCTTGTGATTACAGGAGGCAAGAACTGTTTCCTTTGAGCACCAACTCAAAAGATGTCTGCCGTAACCCACATATTTTTTGTCTTCAATACTATACAAATTCAGGATCGCTAAAACTCATTCGGTATAAAAGTAAAAAGACCACTTTTGAAGAAGGTGGCATTTTCCTTTCCCTCATGAAGTGTTGCATTGTTGTCTGTCTCACAAGTATAGAATGATTTGTCTTTAGGTACTTCAAAGCACCTTCCAAAATGTCCACATTGAAGTCTGGTTATGGGAACCTAATTAGAATGTTTATCTAAATACTGAATGCACTGTGCAAATGCAGCTTATATTTATAGCGTATTTGATAACATGCCTGCAAAACAGGATTCAATGAAGAGGGGGAAAAAAACAGTAATGCTCTTGACAAGGTCCTGTTGATTTGAACAAACACATCTCATTCCTCTGCCATTGCAATTCTGAATACACATCTTGAAGAGGTGCTAGCTGTGTAGTGCTTTCAAAATCAACATTTTAAGAGCAACGCTGTAATTAAAAATACACCCTAGGCCCCCACAATGCAGGAAAGTATGTCTGAAATTATATTCTGATAACTGATGCACTGCTGTGTGTTAATCAGCATCTTTTCTTCTGATTAATAGAAGTGAGCTGAGTCAAGAAAAACTTCGTAGCCAGGAGCTCATTTCTCAGCTGGAAATGGCAAATGAAAAGGTAACCGAGGTAAGATAATGAGTGATACAACAACTGCTTTCAGTTACAACTCGATGCACACACACTAGGATCTTAACAGAAACCTATTTAGATGAGTTATGTTGCTGGTTTAGAAGAAATTAAGTTTTTTTGAGAGGAGTAGTCATAACTGGTAAACCTCACTGTTTCTGCTGACTGACATGTTCAAATGGCAAGAATACAAATTAACTTTACTATTGAATTGCAAGAAAAGGTAAAGGAGAGATCGTCTTACAAGGTTACTAATGTAGCAATTTTAGACAATTTAGGAAACGTTTCTGAAGTCACTTATGCCTGTGTATGCATGCATACCTCTAAAAAGGAGTAGGCATTGTGTTACGGAAAATGTAGCATATGCAGAGATACCAAATTCTCAGCATACTATGTGTATGGTAGAATTTACACTGTATGTGCATATATGCATATAGATAAAAGCATTATCCATTAAACATTAAGGGCAGGGTTGTTTTGGAACGTGCACTGTTCAATAATTAATGGCCACTTTAGAAAACGGCTATCCTGTCAGCCTCATAAATCTGGGATAATACCCAATTCTATCTAGGATAAGTCCTTCTGTATTGTTTTTTTGTAGTGCTGTATTATTTAGAGGAGAAAAATGAGGGCTGATGCAAGAATAGATTTCTGTAAGTAAAGGATGGTTAAGAAAGACTTTATGCATACCCTTTGATGAAGAGAACAGAAATCTGTAGCAAGATCATAATCTCATTTGTGTTATCTAGTATATTCTTTTTCCCTGTGAGTATTGCTAAAACATTTACATTGTAAGATTGTGGGAATTAAATTACCTGGATTAAAATGCCAGCTTTTATGCATCTTACTTCAAGATGGTGAAATGAGTAAACCTTCCTCTGCAGATTACTCTGATTGGAAAAGTCATATGATGTCGTATTTGTGCTGGAAATTCTCTATAATGTGTCAGCAGTATGTCTTCAGTCTTAGACTCTAAGTGGTAAACAGTTCTGCTTCTTAAGTTCCTCTTGCTTTAAGCTTTTTCACTACAGTAGGTATGGATCCAATAAAAAGAACTTTGCATTTGTAATGAGGTATTTTGTTTACACAGGATGAAAAATTAATGATGGAATATCGAGAATACATCAGTAGGCTTCAAAGGCGACTGAGCCAGGCAGAACAGAGGGCAGCTACAGCATCTCAAAAGGTACAAAACTAACAAAAAACATATTCTCTAACTGCATTTTAAAAATTCCATTGAATATTACAAAAATACTCACTTTGTAGCATTCCTGAGGCAGAGGTGATCATTTACATGCATTGTTACTAATATAATTTTACCAACAAGCATGTATTTTGGGTGCCTCATCAAAAAACTGATGCATATTCAATTAACTGCCACCTTCTGACAGGACACTTAAGTGACAGTATAGATGTGTTTATGGAAACAAATTCAATGTGAATTAAACTTGTGTGCTTCAAAGTGTGTGAATGAAGGTATATGATCATTTCCATCTTCAGAAATAGCAGCAAGTTAACAGCGACACTAAATACTCCTCAAATAACTGCAGCTCCTGTTTACATAAAGCAGGCTTTTTTAGCTTGGTGTAACCTACTGCAGCAGTCACAAACGATGGCTTCACATGGTAAAGATCAAATGTTGTGCTGATTCCTACACCTGTCTCCTGGGGAGTCTGATTTAAAACAAAGCCTGTCTTGAGTTGATGGCTCGAGAACTGCCTTTGTAAGAATTGCTAGGCAGCGTAGCTGTTTCGTGGTTTTTTTCAGCCAGATAAGTTCCTGGTCTAATTCAGTGTGTGGCTGTACAGAGAGTGTGGGGAAATGGTTGCAGGACAGAATTGATAGTGTGGACCTGTTTGGTGTTGATCAAATTCCAACCTTGACTACCTTCCGCCATGTCATGTGAACTCCCAAAATTGTTAACTTCTTGTCTGTCCACCTGCATTTTCATTAGTGGCCTCCAGTAGCTGTGTCCCCAAAGATTGTTGGAGAAGTACACCCCATTGCAGTTATCGTCAATAAGTCCCGTAGTGTCAAAAATACTGAAAATTGTGCCGACAGAATAGGAAATACTTGGTTTTTTCCAGGCCGTGGGAAGGGGGGACAGAAGGGATGGTGTGTGTATCTCTCTACCATTGTAAACATGCCTAGTACATGCTTCAGTGATTCTGAAAACTTCAGACGAGGTAACTCAGTTCCAACTCAATATTCCCAGGCCTTAGGGCTATTGGAAGAAATGGTTTTCTTCTGAGAGAGAAACTTTGGACTTTAATTGTCTAAACCCCATGCTACCTGTAATTCTTTATTTTCTCTGCTGAACAATAGGTGGGTTTTTTCTATCCAGTGTTCTTTTTTCCCGTACTATTTAAGCTATACAGCTTGAAGCAAACCCCATGGGGGGTTTATACCCTGGGTTCACTTCTTTGCCAAGCAAATTTGTTACCCAAGTTGGTCTTTCTGTCTCCTGTTTTTTACAGTGATTTAGGAAACCCATTTGCAAATTTCAGATTTTTGATACGGGTGATCCCATGTGAGTTGCAGAGAGGAAACGTTTGTTTGATCTAAATTGTCCAATTAGGACAAAGGGCATTTTTTCCCCAACAGCAGTGAATAACTGGGCATAGCTGCCAAGCTATCATAACATAAGCTGTGTTTCCTGGCTGCAAATGCTCCCTGTCATGATGAGGTCTACCCAGCTGGTGAAGATTTTTTTTTTTTAACCTCTTGTTTGTTACATGGATCTGTTCAGCTCTAATACTTCTGAGATGCTATCTTCCCTTAAAAAACATGGTCACATCACCTTTCAAGGGAGTAAATTCCGGGCCTCAGTGCCCATACAGGCAGCGGTCTCGCTGATCCGGAAAACATTGGTAATTAACTGTTGCTCACCAGTCTCCCTCTGAAAGGTAACAAAGAGATTTGGTAGGATGTTTAGCAGCTAAATCGTTGTCCAGATCTTGCTGACAGTCTTTAGAACTAACTGCCTTGCCCATTTCAGGCTTGGCAGAGGTTACTGCTGCCAGCTGTCCAGGATGGCTTCTTTGTAGTGACTTCACAACTTCTGTGCCAAGCTCCTACCTCTCCTCCCTGCCTCCCCCACCACCCTAAAAAAAAAAAAGCTGTCCCAGCCCTGTTCTGCTGAAGGCTGGAAAAAGTGGCCCCCAGCAGTACTGCTGCAGGAACGTCTGCTCTTCTGACTCTAAAGAAATAAGGTGTTTATCCTCTTCTAGCTCTCAGCAGACTGAATGTTTATGTGTGTCCTTCCCCAGATTCAGCATGGCAATTCTTCTCTGCATTCTGAACCTTGAGATTGAGGGCTACTTTCTGACTTGACTTAATTCTGTATTCTCATTACATTATCCAGCTTACTTGTAAAGTTAAATCCAATATAAGCTGCAGCTGGACTTCTAGGGAGTCTAGAAATTACATTTTTATTGTGGTTAGTTCAATGACTGTAAATCTTAGCTTGTCATTAAATAATAGTAATTCACGGAGAAACATAAGAAATACAGGGTAATGTTTGCACAGGTTTAAAATGTGTGTATTCTGTGTAGATGTCTTTAAAGTGTACTCCTGCTACCTAGTCTTTCATAATCTTGAATTCTTTGGGATCTGAAATCAGAGAAAAGCAGTAGTCATCTATATAGTGCATTGTAAATTCTGCTGTTTACCCCAAATTCCCACATTCTATGCTTGTTCCCTCTCCTTCATGACACCTTCCATATTGAAGTTCTACTGATACTTTGATCTTACAAAAAATTATGTAAGAAACTATTTGCTTGTTTTTAATTACAGCTCAGCCTGATAACTACACAGAAGAAAAAAGCCGCTTCCCTGAAGGATCTGGAAAATATTTAAACATATGTAGTGTTCATTCACACCATGCTGGAGTTAAGAAGATTGCTGGGGAAACTTCATACCAGAGCGTTAAAGTCAAATGCAGAGCAAGGCTTGTAAAACTTACTTAGATGAACATTTTCTGGTTGATTCAGGTAAGAAGGGCAGCGGATGAAGATACCGTATGTGCATAGCAAGGATTGGAAGATGACTGCAAAATGATGTAATTTAAGTCCTTTAATGTGGCAGATGAAACAGTCTGATACAATGCTGTGGCATGTTGGTCTTTTTTGGTCTGAAAAAAAGTCGCTCCAACTGTGACAAGGCTGTGTACAGGCAATAGAGGTACCGTTACATTAAAATTCATGAACAGCTTCGTTCTCACGCAGTCGATACCTTTAATTTTTCTTTGTGGTGCAATAACTTGGGAACATTTTGAACATCTTTTATGAATTGCAAAGACCCTAATTACATCATGAATGTCAAATAGTTGCTGTTTTTATGGTAGGCGTTACAGCTGCGGAATGCCTCCATTGCCTCCCCGTTCTAAGAATTCAGTTTGGTTTGTTCCGATGCCCCAGTGAAACAGTGAATAAATAAAACGCTGCGATGGCTACTCTTAGAGCTCATTTCTAAGTACTCTTAGATCGTACTCTTTCTTCAGTTGTGCTTTTTCTTAGTTACTATTGTACAGTTGTTCCTCACTTTTCTGTTGACCTGCTCTCTTGGTTTGTATGTGTCTGGGAGCATCAGTTCTCGATTACATGAGTTCGCACAAGGCTGGTGAAGTCACCCAGCTTTTGGGCATTTTGAAATAGGGAGTTTGTATTCCGCAGGTGCCAGTATGTGGGAATCCTCTTGTGTACATGTTTTTCTTTTGATAGTTGAGAAACTTCATGTAGAACATTCTAAAATTAGAGCTGAACTCTGTTTCTCTCTCAGCATGTATGATAAACATTTGATAGGTGTTAAGTGATTTTGAGGTGCTCCCATCTTGGACTTAAGTGATGTAATTTCTGTTCCTTCTTCTTAAATGTGAAGAGTGTAATTGTGGTTTAGCACTTCTAATTCAGTTCATGGATAATGCTTACTCAGTGCTTGATGAGAACTGTTGTTCTGGACTAACAAACCAACCCACGTGTCTGTCACAGTGAATCTGCACCATATTTGCATTTTAGAGGACAGACCTAGGTTCATCACCACATGGAAGTAAGAGTGTGCCACCTCCTGAAAACCTGGCTGCTCAAGTAGAGCCTGCACAGCCTCGAGAAAGACAGTCTGCTTACCGCAGAGGAAGTTACTATTTCCTACCGCTGTACACACTTCTTTCTTTGCTAGTGCTTTGATACGTGCCTGTATCCACTGCAATTTCTCATTTTGCTAAAAGGCTTCAAAGACTTTTTGAAAGCAACACAGATAGATTGTGCAGAAGCTCACAACGTCTGTTGCGGTGAGATTTTCATTAATCAACTGTGTATAGGATACAAAGGGAGGTGAGTGCCAGGCACCTTATTTTCATTTGCATAATGCCCATCTGAGATGGTGACAGACCACCTGGAAAGTTTTGTGGGAGCCATTAATCCCATTCACTCCTTAAAGGGAAGGCTCTAACTGTGAGTGAAACACACAGGGGCTGAAAATGGCAGGTCAGTGTAAGTTTTTGAGCAACTCCATTTGTGCATTTGTTCCTTGAGGCACAGAAGGACACCTGCTTGGTTCCCTTTTAGTTATGGGTATATTCGTTTCAGCTTGTGGTGTAGTTCTCACTACATTACACATTTCAGCTCTTGTGTAATGGGTATCTGCCAGAATATGAATTGCAATTACGATGCAAGCACCTAACAGTGAAGTTAGGGGGCAGCAGAGCAATTATGGCAGATGATGCAGGAAAGAAACAATTTCCCATTTTCACCTGTCTGCCTGATCCTGTGAGCAGCTAAAAACTGACCAAATACATCTGCCTGAGCTGCAAAAAAAAAGGAATGTGGTCAAGTTAATCTCGTCCTCCTAACACCGCCTCCTTTTGCTTCCGTTTGGCTTCTAGAGGAAGCTGCCGGCGCATTGCTCACAACCTGGCTGTCAGAGGAAGGGCACTTGCTGAGGCAATTAAAATTTGAGTCTTGCTGGTTAGATTACGTTTTGCCCTTTCCCTCGTGATACGAGGTTGTTTCACATTCCTTTCTACCACCATGTTTCTTGTCACTCTTCCACTGCAACATTTTTGTTTCCCCTACGTTCCTTTCCCACCCCAACACCAGTTTTTGAGTGTTTCAAGACTCTCTAGTGTGATATTAATGCTTCCCATTGCATAAAACTTTGTTCTTCACTATGCTTTTTTAGGATAAGTTTCTAGGTGAATAGTTACTTCCATTCAACAGGTGAGAAAAACTGACTACGCAGGTAGTACCAGTTTCATTTGTGGGTCTTCCGAAGAGCCCTGTACCTTCTGGCACAGGCAGATCTATCCCTGCATACAAGAAACGTTTTAATAGCCTGTTGAAGTGGCACGCAAGCTGCCCTCAGCTCTTACTCAGGTAACCCCAGCAGTGTAGTACCTGTGAAAGGCTGCTGCCAGAACCTTTTTCAACCTTTTATTCACACCTTGAAGAGCTTGTACGCATTAACTCTTACGAGGGCCATCCTTTAATCTTCATTCTCTGAAATACGTTTTTGAGGGGTGCCCTCACACGGTTGCCCACAGCGTGAATGCAAGTACAGATCTGAGAAAAATTACTTACCTGTCGCTGTTTTTCAAGATGTATTGCTAGACGTACGTCTTCACAACCTTCTCCTTTTCTTGCTTGGCTCCAAGTCCGTTCCATGTTTCCACATCCTGAGTTGAGAGGAAGCAAGAGGGAAGGACCTGCTGTGCCCTTCATGCCTTGTGCCCTAAAGATCCTGCTATGGCAGCAAACATTCTCTGTCAGTATTGCTTGACTATAGGCAGTTCATAGGGCGAATGTACATTCAGCGTACTTACCTGGAAGATCTACAGTTAGGACACCTCGCGTCCCTCTTCCAGTGGAACATGGGCAAAGATTATGGACTGTGGAAGGACGTCATATATCAACAAATGTCAACTATTGGAGGTAAGCAACATCTCTTTGAGGATCTCATGGGAAAAAGCATACAATTTTCTGTTGACGGGATAGGCACAGCTGTCAATAACAAGACATTATACTATTCTTAAAAAAAAAAAATCTTGCAACCGCAGTGTGCATTTTGATACCTGTAATAATCCAAATTAAATGCTTATTTTAGCCATGAAGGTTGTTCAGATCATTGCAGTGAAGTCTTTACGTAAAAACCCAAGCACAGTAACTGCTGCAAATTCTAATACACTGCTGGCAAGAATACTGCAAAAATGTACAGCATTTATTCACATACAGACAAAAAGGCACAATTCTACTGAATATTTTAACAAAAAATACAGCTGTCTTCAACTAGGTCTTTATAAATACTTCAAAAAAGGGAGAAAATAAATACAGGATTGGGCCATGTAATATAAAATAGTCATCTCTACATATACTTTTTATTTCTATCTGTTTCTCTTCATGCACCTTCTTCAATTAATTTCAGCTGAATGGACACCAAAGCTAGGCACATAGTGAAAAATCTTCTGTACAAGGTTTTACAAATGTAATGACAATTTCCTCAAATTTCTGAAATTAAGATTTATACAGAACATGTATAACCCTTCATTTAGGTTGTGTGAGTTCATAACCTAACAAATGGCATTCCAGACAGCTTTACAGAAGTTCAACTAGCCTACAGTTTTGACAGAATACACCAATCATAATCAAAGATGTCTTGGTCAGTCTGCACAAGGAAAGGTAATGCTTAAAAACAGAAATTCAGCGAATGGTTCTATCCCAATAAAATACAGGGGTGGGCCTGTGTTCTCAACTGCTGTACTTATGACACCTCTTCTGCTGAGCACTAAGCATGGGAGACAAAACTAATCTACAGAGCTGGTCCTACTGCAGTCGTCTTACAGCTTTTTTGGTTTTGGTTCAGCTTAACTTGAAACATTAGAAAGCTTATTAACCTAAACATTGGGGAGCAAAACAGATAAGGCATTAATTCTGCACAACGCTAGCATTCATAATAGTGCAAATTAACAAGGTACCCCTTCCGAAGTGGTGTGAGGTCAAATGTTTACTACTTAAGAATCAAAATTTAGATTATTCCATCTATGGCTTGACAAAAAATCCTCTTTGTGGTCATAAGCATCTTTCTTAGAGAAAAATAACAGTGCCTGTCTGGAAAGTGTTGCTGTGTGTCAGGTAGAACTTACCTGCATTTACCTTTTTGTGTCTGTTGTTGCTTGATCAAATAAGTACTTTTCTTTTAACACAGCCCCAGAGTGACTACGTGATTTCAGATTTACCAGTGCCCTGTTTGGCTTTCACCTCTGTAAGTGATGAAATTAATCTAACTTCTTGGGACCAGCAATGGCATTTTAAAAGTACGCTATCTTACACAAAATGCCCCTTCTTCAACATCATCCCAAAAGGTACCAAAACATTAAGACTTCTGAGCTTTAAAACAAACAATAGGGATGCATTCTGTTGAAATAATACTTAAGTGATAACTTGCATAGCAAGATAGGGTGTTAAAAAGCCTTTTTTTTTTTTTTTTTTCTTGAATCCTCTGGAAGACTCAGTTATGGCAGAGTTCTACTGTGTCTTAGATGTTCCCTGCTCAAGAGGCAGGGGTCTAACATGAACAAGTGAGTGGATGTGCTAACGGCAGGCTCAGAGGAGAAAAGGGGGGAAAGGGGTTCTTTACGCCCGTCTTTCTGCAGCACATTGCTGCTTAAACTCTGATCAGTACATACCTGACTGACTGACATCTCTGCAGAATTCCAAAGTTTACAGGCTCCTAACACTCCACTGTTGTATGTGCACTCTACTTGGTACAAAACAGCTTCTTAATAATCTGGTAATATTATTGCTCATAGCTTACTAGTTATTGCCATTTGCAATTATTTAAAAAAGTACACACTCACAATACGAGTT